CTCCGGAATGAATTACGTTCATAACCAGAGGTACCACTGTATAAGCAGTTGCTTTGCCCCTGTTGTCCAGTTCTGTTAGTTCAATAAAGGTTCTTGCTGTTATCACTGTGTCTTGCCTCATGGGAACCCACCCACACTTCACCAATGGTCCCCATAGTTGTAATACATAAATAGGAATGTTTAAGCCTATTTATTTGATGTGTTAATCTGTGTTTACTTTGGGGGGGGGGACCAAACTATGTGAGGACATCCTATGTCCACAGGGCAAGCACATAGGGCGCATCCCACCCGGCTTGTTGTGCAGGAACAGAGCAGGCACTGCAATATGTCTGGGGTGTTTTCTTGCCCAGAGCCCAAGAATCTGGCCCAAAAGAAGCAAAAGCCAGCCAAATGAGGATTCATCAGGATTCCACACTTTGCAAACAAGGAAGCAACAAATGGATCCACCTCTTTATAAGCGATAGCTACAAAATGGTGGTTTTTCAACAGCCGTTTTGGTTCACTGTGTAATTAGGAAGGCTGTGGAGAACTAAGAGACCACAGAGGGGTTTACGACTGGAGAGGTAGGGTTGGTGACACAGGATTTCAAGAGCTGACTGACAAGTCTTCCCAAAATATTTGGAACGTTACAGTTTTGCTCCTAAAAAACAGTCCAGATGGGTCCAACACAGTAATCTTCATCAGAGGCCATTCTCTGTGTGCTTCATTGGAGGGAGGTGCAGAGGGCTGTGACACAAGGACCAAGGCACCCCATCTGAGGAATGTTCTCTACAATGAAGCATGCCTGTGACCATCATTATCCATTTTTAAGATGCTAAGCTAAGATCTTTTTATTCACTCAGGCCTTTGGGGACTAAGCTGGCCTCCATGATGATGCTCATCTATTGGGGTGGGGCTAGGATTTGTCATTACAGTCATACCTTGGAAGTCGAATAGCCTAGTTCTCGAACGTTTTGGGTCCTGAACGATCAAAACCCGGAAATGACTATTCCGGTTTTTGAACACTGTTTTGGAAGTCGGACATCCGACGGGGCTTCCGTGGTTTCCGATTGGCTGCAGGAGCTTCCTGCAGCCAATCGGAAGCCGCGCTTTGGTTTTCAAACGTTTTGGAAGTCAAACAGACTTCAGGAATGGATTCCATTTGACTTCCAAGGTACGGCTGTATTATTATGATGTTATTGGATGAGCATTTTTGGTATTTTATATTATACATTGTTTTAGTTTTCTTGTTTAGTGTTGTGTTTTTTTAGCTGTTGTGTTCTATCTTGTTAAGTCACTTTTGAGGCCTTCTTTGTAAAATAGACAAAAAAACTACTAACAAATGTCAATAATAATACAGTAGTACCTTGGGTTAAGAACTTAATTCGTTCCAGAGGTCCGTTCTTAACCTGAAACTGTTCTTAACCTGAGGCGTGCTTTCGCTAATGGGGCCTCCTGCTGCCGCTAGCACGTGATTTCCGTTCTTATCCTGGGACACAGTTCTTAACCTGGAGCAACCACTTCCTGCTTAACGGAGTTTGTAACCCAAAGCGTCTGTAACCTGAAGCGTCTGTAACCCGAGTTAGGTAAAGGTAAAGGGACCTCTGACCATTAGGTCCAGTCGTGGCCGACTCTGGGGTTACGGCGCTCATCTCGCTTTATTGGCCGAGGGAGCCAGCGTACAACTTCCGGGTCATGTAACCCGAGTTACCATTGTACTAATAATGCTGAATTTAAACAGAGAATGGTCAAAATAAGCAAATGAAAAATGTAAAGCATTGATAGAGCTGTACTTATTTCATGGCACAGTTAACTGCCATTTTCAGCAATGTACAGAATTCAGAAGGCAGGAGAAATGTTTTTGTTTTCAAAATAATGACAATAGGAAAATGTGATTATCACAAAATACTCACATTTACGGAGTCACGCCGACAACGGACTATTATGGCTTTCACAAAAATGCGAACAAATTGGCCTAGAAGGAAAAGATAGCACAGCAAGGAAGGCCAGCCCTTTATGAGGTTGTCATATTCACCCAAAAACTAGGCAAAAAAACAACAAAGCAGAATTACCAAAGGCAAACATTACACCACCTGTCATGTACCCTGAAAGCTCAGCTTAAGTTATTAAGCCTGTCTTGTCCTGAAGGGCAGAATCAAGATCATAACTAAGATCAACGCACTCTGCCATTTGGGTTGACTTGGATTGACTTGATTGGCTGAGGGAGCCGACGTTTGTCCACAGACAGCTTCCGGGTCATGTGGCCAGCATGACTAAGCCACTTCTGGCGAACCAGAGCAGCACACGGAAATACTGTTTACCTTCCCGCCGGAGCGGTACCTATTTATCAACTTGCACTTTGGCATGCTTTCAAACTGCTAGGTTGGCAGGAGCAGGAACCAAACAACGGGAGCTCACTCCCTCGCAGCGATTCAAACCGCAACGTGGAAACTTAAAGTGGGATAATAATGATTGCCTGCATGCGCGCATACAAATAAATATACTGAAAGATAATGAGGGGAGGTTGCCCAGAGTTGTTGACCTTTTTCAGGGGGGTGCCAATAATTGTTTAGCTTTTAGGGGGGACAGCATGACATACGCTTCCTATCGCACGTGACTCAGAAGCAACCAATAGTCTCAATGCTCGCTGACAGCATCCAATCAGCATTCACCCTTGACACAGCCACAAATCACACGCACTAACACTGCTAACTATCTCCTGCTCACGGCATCAACCAATTCCGAGCGCAACCGAGTACGTTTCTGAGCACAATTCAAAGTGTTGGTGCTGACCTTTAAAGCCCTAAGCGGCTTTGGTCCAGTATACCTGAAGAAGTGTCTCCACCTCCATCGTTCTGCCCGGACACTGAGGTCCAGCGCCGAGGGCCTTCTGGCAGTTCCCTCGCTGCAAGAAGCCAAGTTACAGGGAACCAGGCAGAGGGCCTTCTCGGTAGTGGCACCTGCCCTGTGGAACACCCTCCCATCAGACGTCAAAGAGATAAACAACTACCTAACATTCAGAAGACATCTGAAGGCAGCCCTGTTCAGGGTAGTTTTTAATGTGTGACATTTTAGTGTATTTTTGGTCGTTGTTGGAAGCCGCCCAGAGTGGCTGGGGAAACCCCGCCAGATGGGCAGGGTACAAATAAATTATTATTATTATTATTATTATTATTATTATTATTGCCAAAATGGTATTAGGGAGAAAGAAGGAGGAGATAGGAGGGTGCACAGGAAAGCCACAATGCTTGCAGAAGTGTAAGTTGCTATGGAGGACGTTTTAAGGGGTCAACCCACCAGGCCCAATACGAACTGTGTATTTTCAGTAGCCATGAGGTCAGGCGGAGCAGAAATGGAATGGCATTTACTAGAAGAAAGCAGGGCTGGAACCCTGACAAGCAGAACACACTGCAACATTTCATTGTAGATGCCCCTTGTAGGTCTTGTACAGTGAGCCAGTCCCAAATTAAACCATGCCCCCTTCTGCCTATTTCACAGCCATGTATCCTATATAAAAAAGGGACGTGGGTGGCGCTGTGGGTTAAACCACAGAGCCTAGGACTTGCCGATCAGAAGGTCGGCGGTTCAAATCCCTGTGATGGGGTGAGCTCCCGTTGCTCAGTCCCTGCTCCTGCCAACCTAGCAGTTCGAAAGCACGTCAAAGTGCAAGGTGATAAATAGGTACCACTTCAGTGGGAAGGTAAACAGCATTTCCGTGCGCTGCTCTGGTTCTCCAGAAGCGGCTTAGTCATGCTGGCCACATGACCTGGAAGCTGTACGCCGGCTCCCTCGGCCAATAAAACGAGATGAGCGCCGCAACCCCAGAGTCGGTCACGACTGGACCTAATGGTCAGGGGTCCCTTTACCTTTATCCTTTCTAAACCAACAGCTAAGTCTTTTGTCAAGTGTCTTCAGTCTAGGAATCAACGGTCCCAGGCTTACTGGATTTTGTGCTTCATCTACTGCCAAGAGGGCAGACATGGGCCTTGATTTCTGAATTCTTTTCAGGCAGGGCTGCAGTTCAGCAGCAAAGCCACATGGCTTGGATGCAAAAGCTCCCTGGAAGCTCCAGAGAAACATGAGGAAACTCTGAGGGCCATAAGCATTTCCATTCCTTCTCGGTGACTTCAGGGCAGAGTGTCCTCTGTTGAAAGCCCTCTAGTTTTGGCCCTGCTTTCTTGTGCCCTGTCCATGGTTCTGAGGACCTGAATCGTGTCTCCATTCTTCTTCCTTCCCAAAAGATTTGGAGGCATCTAATTCCTGGACTGAAGGAATCATCCATGGCACTTGTCCTCTCACACACAGTGGTGGTCCTTTCACAGGCCTTAGATTTCTACCACAGCTTTCCTCTGTAGGCCGAAAGGCCATGTACACAGATCGCAGGTGGCTCTGTGGCAGCCTGTGTGCTAGGGCAGAGATGCCCTCACCATACAGCAGTGTCACTAAGCTGATCTGGGTGAGGGAGTAGCAAGGTGAGGGCTCTACAGCTGCCCCAGCAGGACAACTGTTTTGACTCTGCTGGTACACCTGTGCAGCCCCAGCCTCACTGCTGTCTTGTCCTGACCAATCCCCATCCAGGCAGTAATAATAATAATACCGTATTTTTCGCTCTATAAGACACACCCAACCATAGGACGCACGTTGTTTTAGAGGGGGAGAAGAAGAAAAAGAAATTCTCTCCCTCTCTGCACAGCGCCCCTTCAGTAAAGCGGCAGGAGAAACGGAGCCCCTTCCATTTCTCCTCCCGCTTCGCCGTAGGGGCGCTGCACAGAGAGGGAAAGCTGCGCAACGCCTCTCCAGCAAAGCGAAGCCAGGAGAGCAAGAGGGGTTAGTGCAAACCGACCCCTCTTGCTCTTCTCGCTTCAGCGAAAGCAACGCGAAGCCTCCGGAGCACAGCGAGAGCACCCCCTGCGCTCCGGAGGCTTCGTGTTGCTTTCGCTGAAGCCTGCATTCACTCCATAAGACTCACACACATTTCCCCTTACTTTTTAGGAGGGGAAAAGTGTGTCTTTTAGAGCGAAAAATACGGTATTTTATTTATACTCTGCCCATCTGGCTGGGTTTCCCCAGCCACTCTGGGCGGCCTCCAGCAAAATATAAAAAATAATAAAATCTCAAACATTAAAAACTTCCCTAAACAGAGCTGCCTTCGGATGTCTTCTAAAAGTCAGACAGTTGTTTATTTCCTTAACATCTGATGGTAGGATGCCACTACCGAGAAGGCCCTCTGCCTGGTTCCCTGGAGCGTCACTTCTCACAGTGAGGGAACCGCCAGAAGGCCCTTGGAGCTGGACCTCAGTCTGAACAATGGGGGTAGAGATGCTCCTTCAGGTATACTGGGCTTTAAAGGTCAGCACCAACACTTCAGCGATGCTAATTTTGGGATGGAAGCTCCACAGCGTCATGCTGGCCACTGCAGAGGAGGCTCCCCCATTCAGGCTCTGGCCCCAGCAGGTAGACAGATAAGAGAGATGAGCACTTACGTTATTGTCAGGGCACAAGAAATAGTCTACCACTGAGATGAACATCCTTTAAAAAAAACAACACTGGAGTTACAGGGATCCTAAGATGCTGTCTGTAGTCAAAATATATGTACTGTTTGTTCAGCCAAACTTCTGAGGCAAACTCCCATCTACCACAGTCCTCATATTGGATTCGCATGAATCCAGAATACAGAAAGTACCGTATTTTTTGCTCTATAGGACGCACCGGACCATAGAAGGGGGGAAACAGGGGGGGGATTCTCCCCCCTCTGCTCAGCGCCCCTTTAGAGAAGAGGCAGGAGAAACGGAGCCCCTTCCATTTCTCCTCCCGCTTCACTGAAGGAGCGCTGCGCAGAGAGGGAAAACTGTGCAGCGCCTCTCCAGCGAAGCGAAGCCTGGAGAGCAAGTGGGATGGGTGTGCACCGACCCCTCTCACTCTCCAGGCGGCTATCCGCAAGCCTTCGGAGCGCAGCAGGAACTCCTGCTGTGCTCTGAAGGCGTGTGGATAGCTTCCTGAAGCCCCCAGAGCGCAGCGGGAGTTCCCTGTGCTCCAGGGGCTTCAGGCGGCTTCAGCGAAAGCAACGCGAAGCCTCCGGAGCGCAGGGGGAGCTCTCCCTCTGCGCTTCAGAGGCTTCGCATTCCTATCGCTGAAGCCAAGGAGCCTACATTCGCTCCATAAGATGCACACACATTTCCCCTTAATTTTTGAAGGGGGAAAAGTGCATCTTATAGAGCAAAAAATACGGTATGCTGTCTATGTTTTACAAGGAAGGTCTTCACCAGCAACGCGAAAGTCACAAAATTAGGGACTGAGTAAAACTCCCCAGCCAGAACAGACTGGTTGAGGGGGGGAGGCAGCGTTACTGACAAAATTAACATACAAAAAGTAAAGTTGTAAGCAGGTGGCAGAGCATGAGACTCTTAATCTCAGGGTTGTGGGTGCGAGCCCCACGTTGGGCAAAGGATTCCTGCATTGCAAGGGGGTTGGACTAGATGACCACATGGTCCCTTCCAACTCTACAGTTTTATATTCCTATGATTCTATAACCAGCTGAACAAGTTGGTTGCAAGATGAGCTTTGTTTACCCTACCATTCCCGACCATTGAGCCATGGTGGATGCAGCTGATGGGAGCTGAGTCCAACGATGTCTAGAGTGCACCATGATGGCTATCCCTGATCTAGACAATATTAGGAACCCTGGATCATTTAAATCTATTTGCTCTCTTATGATTAAATGGGCACAAGATGTAGGTCACAATATTATGATGGAAGATTGGGAAAAATTATGGACAACTGACTTAAAATTTACAGATTGTTCCCAATTGAAGGAGAATTACATGAAGATGATGTACAGATGGTACACAACACCAGTGCAGTTAGGGGAAATGTACAGAACTAGTTCAAATATATGTTGGAAGTGTAAGGAAAAGGAGGGGACATTTTATCATATGTGGTGGGATTGTAAGGTAATTAAAAAATTTTGGGAAATGATATACAGTGGTGCCCCGCAAGACGAATGCCTCGCAAGACGAAAAACTCACTAGACGAAAGAGTTTTCCGTTTTTTGAGTCGTTCCACAAGACGAATTTCCCTATGGGCTTGCTTCGCAAGACGAAACGTATTGCGAGTTCTTGCGAGTTTGTTTCCTTTTTCTTAAAGCCGCTAAGCCGTTAATAGCCGCTAAGCCGCTAATAGCCGCTAAGCCGCTAATAGCCGTGCTTCGCAAGACGAAAAAACCGCAAGACGAAGAGACTCGCGGAACGGATTAATTTCGTCTTGCGAGGCACCACTCTACAACGAATTGAAGAAAATGTTCCATTTAACATTTGTTAAAAAACCTGAAGCATTTTTATTAGGGATTGTAGGGAAAGATCTGCCAAAAAGCTGAAAAACATCTTCATGTACGCGACAACAGCCGCAAGAGTTCTAATAGCACAAGGATGGAAGACTGAAGAAACCCCAACTAAAGAATCATGGCAAGAAAAATTGATGGACTATACAGAACTGGCAAAACTGACATACAAGCTACGGGGCAAGGATAACTGTGACTTTAAAGATGAATGGGAATCCTTTACAAAGTATTTGAAGATGCAACAAAGCGAACTGGACTCCTTGGCTGGTTTTGAATAAACATTCACAAACTTTTTATTGATAATTATTACTTAAATAGTTTGAGGATCTATACAACTGGGTAACATGCAGAAAACAGCATTTTTAGAGATATCAAAGACTGGAACTGAGGGAAGTCAGGGGGTGGGGGCGGGTGGGTTTTGTGGGGGGGTGGAAAAATGGGGGGGACAAGGATTATATGTTTTTGGATAATATGTTTTGTTTTAATTTTGAATAAAGTTATTTTTTAAAAAAAAATCTACTTGCTCTGTAGCAATGTTCATCGCAAGCTTCCACAAATGCCCTTCGTGAGGTTCTCTAATGGCAAGTTGTCTCTCACCCAACATCCCCAGCTCAGACAAGTATATCTGATATAAGGCTCTGCTCACCAAGCTGCAGTGTAAAGGAATCCCAGTATAGCTCCGGTAATCGCGTAACTTGTTGAAAGGCAGGCAAAGAAGGGGTACATAGAGATGCCCACTTCGACGGCATGGATTAGAACCACAAAAACTGCAGAAAGATAGGGTCGTTTTAGAAACCATAGTTACTCCAAATGGAGATCTAGCATTTCTCAGAGCTACTCTCGGTCACTTGGGGGGATACCCTAAGCACTGATAAAAGCTGGACCACTTTCAAGGATGTATTCTCACAGTTGCTAGGTTGGAGAAATATTTAGGATGGCTGTGAATGGGAGTCTGATGCATTTACTGTGTCTTAGGAGTCAGACTTGGCCTTGAGATGCCGGAAATATGAAGACAGTGAAATATAAGGGAAATATAGCATTCCCAGTCCCTACATTCCGCTTGAATTGTCAGTGGAGCTGAGCTGAGGCAGCATTTGCAGAAGGAAATCAGCAGGTAGGGGAGAGAGTGCTTAACTCTTCCACACAGTCAATTCCACCCCCACCTACCGTATTTTTCGCTCTAGAAGACGCACCAGACCATAAGACGCACCTAGTTTTTGGAGGAGGAAAACAAGAAAAAAAATATTCTGAATCTCAGAAGCCAGAACAGCAAGTGGGATCGCTGTGCAGCCTCTTGCTGTTCTGGCTTCTGGGATAGCTGCACAGACTGCATTCACTCCATAAGACGCACACACATTTCCCCTTACTTTTTAGGAGGGAAAAAGTGAGTCTTATAGAGCAAAAAATACGGTATTTTTTAAGATCCCTAGTCCCAATCAACAACTCTAAACCTGGAAGAGAGATCAGCATGAAAGAAAAATGATCTTGGTGGAAGGAAGAAGTCAGCAAGAAGAATTTGGCATATGCAAGAGAGGTTAAAAACACCTCACCTCACCTCATCTGCCAGTCTTCCCTCTTCATTCCACTTATGTTAACAAATGCAAGGCTGAGATCGGAATCCTGAATACAAAATTGAACTCACAGATGAGCCCAAAAGCTCAGGTTCTGGCTAGTATCAGGGCAATGAGCAGATTAGTATGGATAAACTGGAAAACGTCAGAGGCTCACGGTATTGTTCCGTCCCCAGGCCTCCCTGTTGCTTCTTTCCCACGTGTTTTACCTTTAGCCCACCTCGGAAATAACGAAATGAAGTGGTCTGAGGTAAACAGGTACATCACTTTATCAGCAATAATTCCAAATGCAAATCCAAGTGACCATCGGTTGCTGAAGGTAAGGATATCAAAGGGTCTGTGAGGTATGGAAAGAAGAAGAGAAGAAATAATTCTTAGGATTCTGGGAAGCAACTGGGAAGCCATTACAGAGCTGAAAGCTTATGTGCTGCTTTCAAAGAGTCATAAAACTTAGGTGTGAAATCAAACACCCATCAACTTCAGCTTAGAGAAAAATAACAACAGTGACGGTTCAGTTCACCATTTTGTGACAGTTTGGTTGGTCCTAATACGTAAAAGTATTGCCTGATTTGGAGAGAGCTTTAAATGTATGTTGTGGTTGTGACCTATGAAAAGCTCCATCTAGTGCCAACATGGAAGATCTTCCTTGCCCGATACAAGAGGAGACTGCTCTGTTTCGGTGCAAGGACAGTAACTTATCCTCTTTTTTTATCCCAGATGTAAATACTTGAATTTATGCCTCCTGCAAGACAGATTCAGAAAGGCGACCTGCTTTCATGAAGGAATGGCATTTGTTGTACTGGCGTATTTGTCTTTTTAGAAGACACTTGTAGCCACAGGAGGAAAGTTATTCTTCAGCTTACGCCATAATCCCACAGTGTCCATGTAGAGGAATTTTTTCATCTATACAACATCTTTTTATTCTTTTTTCAAGACAGGACAGCACTATAATGATGAAGACCTGCCAATACAGAAGAACAGTCATGAGGGAGTGAAGGCATCCTTTGATCTTTGAGAAACTAATAAAGAATTATAATTGAGTTATTATCCCTAACGATGGACGCTCAACCTATCAGCTCAGTTAACCTGTCAGTTAATTAAACCAAGTCAGGATGTTCCTGATGAATTTTACCATCCATGTCTTGGAAGTGTGTGACTGTTAGGCCAAGTTAACCATATTGATTCGTACGCTGCCGGTGGGTTCTTGTTGTTGTCTTGTTGGGCTGTGTGTGTATTAAAAGGGAGCCACACTGGGGTGAAGGCGTCCTCTTTTACAGTATTGGCCTGAATATAAGCCTCATTTTCCCCCCAAAATTAAAGTGCGTCTTAAATTCGCAACCTTACAAAAATTGGCTTTTACGATATCGCTGCTGAAACAGGCATACGATAAAATAGAATGGATATGAGTGCCTGCAGAATTTTAAGGGAGCGGCTTATATTCGGGTATTGACTTTTCTCTCTCTCTCCCTCCCCCCTTTGAATTTTAAAGGTGCGGCTTATATTCTGGTGCGGCTTATATTCAGGCCAATACAGTATTTGTCCCCGTGTTGCTTTCAGTTTGTTAGTTAGTGTTACGGTTCCAAGGGGTTGCTCGAGAGCAAGCAGGCAAATGCCTCCCTGCTCGGCTGCGAAGCCTTGCTTTTGATGCCAAAATAAACTTTATCTGTCCAGAGCGCCACTCTCCCGTGGCTGGCTCATTCACTGGCAGAAACCGTGAGTGGGCGGTCCTTAAACCTTCCCCAGCAAAGTAGTTTCTTGACGCCCAGTCTGCGCCTCCCGTCTCGGCGCGAAAGCTTACTGCGCAAGGAGGGCGTGGGTAACGGAGGACCGCTCTCCTCCCTGTTTGCCCAAGCAAGGTGTCCTGACACCGCCTCACCTCCTCCGAGCCCTGAAGCTCCTCTCCACTGGAGGCGTGGTTACTCTCCTCCGCTGAGGAGGTGCTGCTTCCCACGATCTTTGGGGGCTCTCTGTAATCCATCCGGCTTTTCCCCTCTCCCTCCTGAGCCGATGGCAGTTCCCTGACAGTTACGGTAGCTTTTCTAGTAAGGCTGTTTCCCATCCAATTTGGTACCAGTGGTTCATGTTCACTCCTGACAGGCCCCTGCACTATGATGCTTCCAGGAGCTGAGAGTAGGTGGGTTGTAAGCTCTTTATACTGCAGAGCTCTCCCTATGTTTTTAGTTCTGGCTCTCTGCAGCAAGCACACTTAAGATCAGCCTCTGCCAAATTCCCCAAATTAAGCAAGTGTATCAATGCCAAAGTACCGGTAATTATGTCTGCGTTAGTGTCCAGTGCAGTGTCCGTTAGTGTCCAGTGCAGAACCCAAGAGTAATATATGAGCTCGGTATTCCATTTTGTGCATTTTTCAGTATTATACACAGCCACTCTCCTTCCTATCTAATGTCAGCCTCAGTATCTGAGGAAGGAGAGTAGCTCTGTATTTCATCAGTCATAACTCAAGAAAGTACGATAATTGGCCTACTTACTGCTGGAGGAAGAGACAAATGTATAAATGCCTCCGTTTCTACTGAATCCTCACAAGAGGAATTTGAGTTGTCCATATCTTCAGAAGAATCATTTAGGAAACCTGTTCTCCTGTACAAGAAACACAATGGTAAATAGCAGATATGTTAGATGATATACAGAGTTCAGCATCTTAAGCCTGCTTGCAAAACTCTGGTCTTCTATATGCTGGCAATGTCTACAGCCATATGCCCCAAAGTTTGATAGCCAAGATACGTTTTTTAAACATAATAAAAAATAAAATAAAACTGGAAGCATGCCAATGCTTACAACCAAAAGCATTTAATTTTGGGGATGTATATGAATAAAAATTTCTCACCTTCAGAGTACCACCCCCTGCCCCACTATGCTCCTACATGTGTCACTGTCTAGATATGCCCATATCAGCTCAAAAAAATATATGGAGGGAACCATCCTCTGAGGGATTGGGAATTCTAGTGCTTCTCTGCATGAGGACAGAAGCGACACATTTAAACCACACAAAGATGAGTCAGAATATTCTGATCACAGCAGAGGTGAAAGCAAAGCAGTGGGCAGTCTCTTCTGCATTTGTTTCCCACAGCAGACACTTAGTTCCCTTGTATGGAAGTGAGAGCTGGACCATAAAGAAGGCTGATCGCCAAAGAATTGATGCTTTTGAATTGTGGTGATGGAGGAGACTCTTGAGAGTCCCATGGACTGCAAGAAGATCAGACCTCTCCATTCTTAAGTAAATCAGCCCTGAGTGCTCACTGGAAGGACAGATCGTGAAGCTGAGGCTCCAAGACTTTGGCCACCTCATGCGAAGAGAAGACTCCCTGGAAAAGACCCTGATGTTGGGAAAGATGGAGGGCACAAGGAGAAGGTGACGACAGAGGACGAGATGGTTGGACAGTGTTCTCGAAGCTACCAGCATGAGTTTGACCAAACTGCGGGAGGCAGTGGAAGACAGGAGTGCCTGGCGTGCTCTGGTCCATGGGGTCACAAAGAGTCGGACACGACTAAACGACTAAACAACAACAAGCATGCTAGCGTTGGCACATGTGTTGGGAATGTGTTGGGAATGCTGGAGCAGAGGTAGGGAACTGGCAGCCCGTAGGCTGGCTCAGGCCCATCCAGTTGTGTCAAATCAGCCCTTCAGACATACAACTGCAACACACACACCCTCCACCACTCCATTAGGCAAACAAGTGAGGAAGTGCTGGACAGAGATTGCCGCTTGCCTTCCAGAGTGCTCAGCGTACATTGCAGCACACGGGAATCATCAGAAGCGGGTCATGAGACCTTCCACCTACGCCTCCTTCCAAAGATCCCTAGAGCAACTTCCCTTGCCTTTCCCATTAGGAAAAACGAGGGTGAGGGAAGCTGACTTAATCAGGAGCCACCACCTCATTTGACCCTGGAGCACCCTGAAACAGCCATTCCCTAAGGCACTGCTGCGCCCTCTTTGCCATAGCTCAGCTGTTTCTCAATTGGCTGCAAGGGGGTGATTTTCCCAACTGACTCATTGATCAGGAGCAGGATCATTGAGCAGTGGCAAAGAGGGAACTGCTCCTCCAGGCGCCTGTTCAGGTGTGTGTTCCTCCAGTGTCAAAGCAAGGATTCTTCAACATCTACTTCGTTGCTCAGATGCCTGATTATCATCTTCCAAAGCAACTACTCTATTCCGAACTTTGAAAATGGAAAGCGTCATGCTGGTGGTCAACAAAAGAGGTTTAAAGACTGTCTCAAGGCAAATCTTAAAAAATGTAGTATAAACACCGACAATTGGGGAATCCTGGCCTGCGAGCGCTCCCGTTGGAGAACAGTCTTTACCAAAGGTGTATTGCTTTGAAGATACTCAAACTCAGGAAGAAAGGGAGAAACATGCTAAGAGGAAGACATGTTTGGCAAATCCACACCATGATTAACTCCCACCCAGAAACCTACGTCCCCGCTGTGGAAGGACGTGTGGATCCAGAATTGCCCTCCACAGTCACTTACAGACTCACTGTTAAAACTATGTTCATGGAAGACAATCTTACAGCTGTGGCTGGATGGTTACGTGGGAGCCGGTTGAAGTTAAATCCTTCTAAGACAGAGGTCCTTTGGCTGGGATGGGACAAAATGGGATTGGGGGCGGGGGCAACTCCCATCTCTTGCGGGGGTGCAATTAGTGCCAGCACCGTCCGTTAAGAGTTTGGGTGTAATCTTTGACACCTCCCTTTCCATGGAGGCGCAGATTGCAGCTATAACAAAGGCGGCATTTTTTCATCTCCACCAAGCTAAGCAGTTGGCTCCTTACCTCTCTTGCCCTGACCTAGCCACTGTGATCCATGAGATGGTCACCTCCAGACTGGATTATTGTAACTCGCTCTACGTGGGGCTGCCCTTGAGACTGACCCAGAAACTCCAGCGGGTTCAGAATGCTGCGGCAAGACTCCTTACGGGGTCCTCGCTGCGAGATCACATTCACCCGGTGCTATACCAGCTGCACTGGCTCCCGGTGGAGTACAGGATCAGGTTTAAGGTGCTGGTTTTAACCTTTGAAGCCCTATACGGCCTAGGACCCTTGTACCTACAGGACCGCCTCTCCTGGTATGTCCCACAGAGGAACTTACGGTCTTCAAATTAAAACATCTTGAAGGTCCCAGGCCACAGAGAGGTTAGGCTGGCCTCAACTAGAGCCAGGGCTTTTTTGGTTGTGGCTCCAATCTGGTGGAACGCTCTGTCACAAGAGACTAGGGCCCTACGGGACTTGACATCTTTCTGCAGGGCCTGCAAGATAGAGCTGTTCCATCAGGCCTTTGGTCAGGGCACAGCCTGACTCCCTCCTTTGGCAATCTCCACAGAATCTCTAGCCCAATGGTTGCCATCAATTTGATTTGAATTAATTTTATAATGAATGATTTTAGAATTTTGTACTATTTTATTGTTGTTAGCCGCTCTGAGCCTGGCTTTGGCTGGGGAGGGCGGGATATAAATAAATTTTATTATTATTATTATTACTTGGCTATGAGTGATTGCCAAAGAAGAAGTGTGTGTTTTGCAGCACTCTTGCAAGTGTCGGCTGACTCCGACGCGAACACAGCACCAAAAGACTCACATCCCAATTTTCTTCAGGAGAATGATGGAGAGTATGCAGTTTTCTTGAAAAGGCAAAGTCACATGGCCTGCTAAAGGTGCTCTGGCAGCGGGGAGCCATTAGGGGAAAGAAATTCCTGGTTCCTGCTTGTCATAGTCAAGATCTTCAGGCCTGGTGGTAGATGGTATCTCTGCTGCTCCTCCCTATGGGGTTGAGAGCCCGCAACTGCTCTTCATCCTACAAGATGGACTCATAAGCACCCAACCTGGACTCCCATGCCATGACCCAGGAAATGCCTGCTCCTGACATCTTCCAGACCATGATAAATGTTGAGAATTCAGCTAGGACATAAATGAAGTTATATGCAAGCGAGGGCAGGGCTTGTGTACTTTTCATAGACATGTAGACGACATGCCAGTATGCACAGACTTGTCATGTCACAGTGACATGAAACAACAGCTGCTGAAATTCCCTGTGTCTCATATCTGGATCTAACAACCTCAGCTCCACGTAGAAACCCTTTTGCAGAATTAAGACTTAATGTCATGCTCTCTGCCTTTTCAGATGGCCGTTATAAGAAATTACCCTTGGAACGGTGTCTTGTCTTTACGTATTTTGCAAAGCTGTCACAGATGATATTGACCATTGTATTACTCAATGTCCATTTTATAAAGATCCCTGTGAAAAACATTTGTCCCAACTTTAGTTACAAGAAGAAATCTGTTATACCTGGTGAGTTTGTATGGTTCTTGCTGTTTGATAATGAAAAAGATGCTCCTTTGCATATTTATCTGCACTGCCAAGAAGTCAAGAGCTAAATTTGTGGCTCAGTTCTGAATGGTCTGTGCAGAACTGGCAAAACTGACATACAAGCTACGGGACAAGGATAACTATGACTTTAAAGATGAATGGGAACCCTTTACAAAGTATTTGAAGACACAACAAAGCGAACTGGACTCCTTGGCTGGTTTTGAATAAACATTCACAAACTTTTTATTGATAATTATTACTTAAATAGTTTGAGGATCTATACAACTGTGTAACATGCAGAAAACAGCATTTTTAGAGAAATCAAAGACTGGAACTGAGGGAAGTCGGGGGTGGGGGGGTTCTGTGGGGGGAGGGAGGGGAAAAGGGGGAAAATAAGGATGATATGTTTCTGGATAATATGTTTTCTTTTAATTTTGAATAAAAAAGTAATTAAAAAAAGTTCTGAATGGTCCTTTTTGCTTTCTGTTTGACGCAGGTATATATAGCTACACAAATAAATTATTACTTTCCTACCTGTCCATCCACCTGTGCATACAATGGCCTTATTCTCCTTTGCATCTGGCCACTTGCAAATGCTGCCTAAAAATGCTGTAATGTGTGAACTGGTTGAAGCTGATGCAACCTATGCTTCTCCATTCCCCACCTGATGAATTCTACCAAGATGAGCTGCTTCTCCTCATCTCATAGAATCATAGTGTTGGAAGGGATCTTGGAGATCATCTATTGCAACCCCTTCGTTAATGTAGGATCCACGATGGGTCTGCGATGACGGTATCTCTGACAAACAGTGACCCAGCCTCTGCCTTTAAAACTCTAGTGAAGAGCTCATCACCTCCCCAGGCAGTCTGCTTCACTGTAAGGAACGTTCTCCCAATGTTTTCATACACCTCGCCATTCTGGTTCCTCTCCTCTCAGGGGCTGGACTGAGGAGGAATGATGGGAGCCGCTGCCGCCCCTTCTCCTGAACCTTCCCAAGGGCAGGAGGCCAGTATTGACTTAGAACAGTGGTTTGCAGAGGGGCATAGTCCAGAGAGGAAAAGCTGAGAAATACTGGGAGAGGAACAGCTAGAAGAGGAAATGCCAGGAGAGAGAGACAGCTGGCAGATTCAGTGTCCTTATACAGTGTTCCTTACCCCCCTTCGCCTAAGACGAGACAGGCTTTGAGAGTGATAGAACAGAGAGCTCAGCAGAAACAAGTTCGGATTACCCGACGTAGGAGTGACATAGATAAATGGGGACGGAGGGGGTGAGCCTTTACTGGGAGCAACGCCATTTCTAAAGAGATATGCATTCGTTAGGAGCCAGTGTGGTGTAGTGGTTAAGAGCAGTGGACTCGTAATCTGGTGAACCGGGTTCGCGTCTCCGCTCCTCCACATGCAGCTGCTGGGTGACCTTGGGCCAGTCACACTTCTCTGAAGTCTCTCAGCCCCACTCACCTCACAGAGTGTTTGTTGTGGGGGAGGAAGGGAAAGGAGAATGTTAGCCGCTTTGAGACTCCTTTGGGTAGTGATAAAGCGGGATATCAAATCCAAACTCTTCTCTTCTTCTTCTTTTGTCTCTCGCTGTGATTATTAAAGAAACTAACTGGTATGAATGCTCCTTTCGTTTGATCTGCTTAATTACTGCCACCGAGGGAGGGATCCCCTTTCCGAAAGCCTGACATCTCCTCTAGACATTGATCAATGTCGTCCTTAAAATGTGCCTCCCAGGGGCCGTAGTACATATGTAGCTTGACAAGCAGCCAAAGACTACATTAGCATTGTTAGCACACTGTTGGCTCATGTTCAGCTTGTGATCCACTAATTCACCATTTCATATCTGCTGCTGCCAAGCCCTATTTTCCCCATCTTAGACTTATGCTTGTGCTTCTGAGTGTGTGTGTGTGTGTGTGTGTGTGTGTGTCAAAATCCAAGACTTTGCTTTTCTCTGTGCTGAATCCCACCTTGTTCTATTTTGGCCTAGTGCGCCAGCCTTTCAAGGTAATGCTGATTCTAGAACTCTATATGCACAGAAGTGGAAAGAAGAGACGATTCCTACGAAGGAGGAATGGCTTTTAAAAGTTATGGACTATGCAAAGTTGACAGCAATGTTAAGAGATCAAAATGAGTAACTTTTTACAGAAGAACGGAGACCTTTTTCTTTTTTTGGACCATTTGGGAAAGCACTACAAATGAAATCGCAGACAGGATTTGAGATAGGAGCAGTAGAAGAAAAATGATAAAGTAATTGTCTTAGAGGGATTTTGATAATAGACGAGAATTTTATATATAATGCAGTAGAAAAGAGTTCGAATTAAAAAACAGTGGAGGTGGGAGTGGAAAGTCAATATATGAAATAATGTAACTATTTAATTTGAAGTTAATTTGTAAAAATTCAGAAGTGTGTGTGTGTGTTTGTGTTTGATTGATCGTATCTTGTCCCTCGCACCACTGTGTTATCTGCAAATCTGATAAGTTTGCCCTCTACTTCCTGCAAAAATGATAACAAGCAGAGGTTGTAAGGCGGAGTCTTGTGGCAAGGCCTCCCTCATTGGGGTTGTGGGTCCACCTAAGGTAATAAAGGTAAAAAGGTAAAGGATCCCTGGATGGTTAAATCCAGTCAAAGGCAACTATGAGGTTGTAGCACTCATCTCTCTTTCAGGCCAAGGGAGCCGGCATTTGTCCACAGACAGCTTTCCAGGTCATGTGGCCAGCATGACTAAACCACTTCTGGCACAACGGAACACCGTGACAGAAACCAGAGCACATGGAAACGCCGTTTTACCTTCCCACCGCAGTGGTACCTATTTATCTACTTGCACTGGTGTGCTTTCGGACTGCTAGGTTGGCAGGAGCTGGGACAGAGCAATGGAAGCTCACCCCATCGTGGGGGTTCAAACCACCGACCTTCTGATCGGCAAGCCCAAGAGGCTCCATGGTTTAGACCACAGCACCACACACAAAAGCTTTTTTATTTCTGAGCCACCTAACAGTAACATTGACCAGCCCGCATTTTTACCATGTTGTCAACAAGGATATCATGGGAGATCTCATCACGTGCTTTGCTGAAATTAGATGCTATGCCTTATTTGCTAACCCTGGGTGGTGATGACTAATAATCACCACACATGCCAACCCACTGTGTACAAGCAAACACTAGCTTAGAAAAGGTTGTCTCTGTGGCCCTGTGTGTCTTTTTGCACCTTCCTGCTGGCTTAGCTTCCTTTATTTTCAGATTTGAACTCTCTCGGCTCTTAGTGTCTCAGTCAATACTGTATCAGACAGGACAGACTGCAAAAACAAGTGGACTCAGCTGTTCATCCTCCTGGCGTCCTGCCCATTTGAAATCAAATAAGAACTCTTTGAAATCCAGGGCTGGGGATTATATATATCTACATTAAATATATATATAAAACAAACTCCATTGTTGCAGTGTTGTTATTCCATGTCGGAGTGTCTCTATGGGGACCAACACGGATGTCCTCAAAGAGATCTGGCAGTGCCTCATATGCTTCTAGGCCAGTGGTTCCCAAAATGAGAAGTACTGAGCCCTGGGGGGGCAGTGGGATTGCCTAGTGGGGAGTGCTTAGAGGCAGGAGGGCAGTGAGGTACTGGAGGCATAAGTGTGATGGCCTGGGATTCGGACTCAGAGGCTGAACCTGAGGAATCCCAGCCTGCACAGGAGTCCCCGCCTCCAGAACCAGCTGAGCCGGGGCTGGGGCCTGAGCCTGAAGGGTCCTCACCTGTGCTGGATCCTCAGGTGCAGGCACCAGCTGAGTCTGCTCTGGCTCCTGAGGTGATGGAGGACCCATTGCCTGCAGGTGCTCCACTCTCAGCCCCGTCAGGGGAAGCTGAGGTTGCCTCTGGGTCCGGTAACCCTCCAGCCTCTCCTGAGCTGCAGAGGCTCAGGGCAGAGAGGCGGAGGGAACTAAGTTCCCGCAGGAGGAGTGCTCGCCTCCAGGCCAGGAGAGGCGAGTCACCTGTGGACCGGGGCCGCCCTATGCCTCGGGGCAGATAAAAGCCAGCCAGCCCCAGTCCCAGGTTGCGGGAGCAATGTTGTTGGTAGCCTGTTCCTGCCTGTACCCTGTCCTACTCCTCTGCCAAAGTTCCTGACCTCACCCGACTCCCTGCCTTGGACCCAGCTTCAGCTTTGATGGACAGCCTCCATACCGCACCCTTGAACTCAGACTGGACTCGGAACTCACTGCACGGTTAACCCTCGGGACCAGCACAATAAGTGACTGAAAAGCTGGCACCACCAGATCAAGTTCATCGGTTTTCATAGAAACAGAGAATTGTAGAGTTTAAAGGGACCACAGGGGTCATCCAGTCCAACCCCCTGCAATGCAGGAATCTTTTGCCTGGTGCTGGAACTCGAACCCACAACCCTGAGATTGGAAGTCTCTGTTTTGTGTGTGTGTGTGTGTGCCGAAACCCGGAAGTCTCATTGTTGACTGATAGATAGTTTTAATGGGATTTTGAATGAATGTGCATTTAATTGTTGCTGTTTTGAATTTTATCTCTCTTTCTTAGTGGGTCATGTTCTGAACAATGCTTATTATGGGATACAGGGCAGTGGGGATGAGTTTTTGGAACCAAGGAGATGGGGACCTGAAAAAGTTTGGGAAAGCGTGTTCTCCCTAACAGAGAGCACGTGTTGCGGTGGAGGCCAGCAGGCCACCCCACTGTTGCTGGGCGGATACGTTTGGATGGCCACAGGCAGTGATTGGATAATTCGAGTCTCTGGGGAGATTTTGATGTTGCCAATTGGAAGGAGGGGTCAAAGGTTTTAAATACTGGACACGTAGCCTTGGGCATCCTCTTGGGCTGCATGCACCGGATCACCCACCCACGCTCCCTGAATTGGGGGCATTCTTTGCTTTGACCTTGCTATGCCTGTCATGGGGTTGCCTGCTTTTGGGGCAGGGGCCTGGTAGGAATTTTGTCCATTTGGCTGATTGGCTGGTGCCATTTGGTTTTTGCCTACTGCGTAGCAAATCGTCACAACTTGTAAGCTTGGCAGTTAGGCATTGGTTAAAATTGGTTGGTGGAGGGGTAAGTGCCTACCCCTCCAATGGTGGTGCTGCAAGGGAATTCCGTTAAAGGAATCCAGGGGCTTGCCATTCTTTCGTCCAAGTCCCTGACATCGGGCTTGGGCCGTGCAAGCCCCCGGGAGCATGTGGGTAAGAAGTGAGGGTCTGATGCCCAACTTCATTTCTCCCTGATATTGTTTTCCCTGACCAGCTTCCGCTGGAATCCGGAAGTCAGTTCTGTCCCTGGGGCAAGGACAGATAGTCATAACCAATGCCTAAGCAACCACTCACATGTGTGTATTTAAACAAAGTTGTGGCCAAAATCATGCTAAAAACCTTAAACAAAAATTGATGTGTGAAGTGTGAGTTTATTTGGGGTGGCTTGCGGACCTTGACACGCAACCTCTGTTCTAGATTCTCAGGCATACTGAGTGGGCTATTTTGGCGCTCACTTCAGGAACATGGAGGGTGAAACCAGCGCTGATATTTGGTCCTGCGTGGTGGCTTTTCCTCTCAGGTAGCTGCTGTAGCAGGAGGCGACTGGAGGCAGATGGAGGAAGTCTGCCAAATGAGGAAGTCTACACGACTGGCATGACCCCAGTCAGAACTGACTTTCCTTCTTCTTCCTGCTATTGTTAATGGGAGGAAATCTCTCACTGGCACTGCGCTGTGTTGCGGTAAGAAAACCCACCAAGAACTGTTATCAATCCAGAACTGGAATCAGGCATTCACTACTGTCATTGTACGCAATATAAAATGAAAAACTTGCAACTTTGGGGAGCAACCCAATGCACGTATTTAGTGCAAAGGGACTTTATTTTGAATTAGTATGAGATTCTTATGTAGCTAGAAATACTGTTTATAAGAGGCAGGAACCAGACTGGTTTTCTCAACTAATTTTCTTAAAAGAACACGCAGAGGAGCCTATCCCACCATCGCTCACTTTTTGTTCTATTTTGCAAATTGCATCACAATGGAGAACCGTAACAAAACACACAGTTTCAGATCTCTAACGCATAATTGTTAAAATACATGACTGGAAACAATTGACGAGCATTAAAATCAAGCCAAAAGTAAAAACAACTATCTAATACAGCTCCTTCCAAAATCTAGGGTGGGTGGTGGGAGGTTGTGAATTCTCAAAAGTTATGAAAGTTAGGAATGAAAACCATATCATGTCTAAATCTATTAGATTTATTTTCCACGTATCGTGCGTTAATTTTTCCATGAAACTGAGATGTCAAACTTGCTTGTGCCAATTTTCAATAAAAGAAAAACAGAGGACCTCTTGCTGCCTGCAGCCAAGAGGAAACTAATGAGATTTCCAAGAAGGAGCTTGGGGGCAGGGAAGAGCAAAAGGAGCTGCTTACAGGATGATCTGGTTACATATTTTAGAAATATGATCAAAGCTAGAGGAACGGGGCAAAACCACCACATGTGGAGGTAGGATCCTCATTCTGAGCATCCCTTCCGGCACTCAGGTGATAGGGATGGGTTAATTTTACTGGAGTGAGTGCTAGTGGTAAATTAGTTTAAGACAGGCTTTGCTCACTGAGGCTGAGATTGTCTTGTGTGGTGCACCGGTCCAATGGGAGCCCCAGGCTGAATCAGAAAAGCTTTCTCCCAGACCTGTCTCAGAAAAAAAAAACCCTCTGAAGACCTGGAAACCACATTTCACATTCAACAGTATCTAATGCAGTTGTGAGACCAGTCCCTTCCTGCAGGTACGGACTGTATCTCTGGCACTCATTTTCTAAGGTTGTTGATGGTCTAGGGAAGCCCACCGTACAGTGGTACCTCAGGTTACATACACTTCAGGTTACAGACTCCACTAACCCAGAAATAGTGCTTCAGGTTAAGAACTTTGCTTCAGGATGAGAACAGAAATCGTGCTCCAGCGGTGCGGCGGCAGCAGGAGGCCCCATTAGCTAAAGTGGTGCTTCAGGTTAAGAACAGTTTCAGGTTAAGTACGGACCTCCGGAACAAATTAAGTACTTAACCCGAGGTACCACTGTATAAGCTATTTGCTTTAAAAAAAACAAAACACCTATAGGTCTGCAGCACTGTTAGTCGATAAAATGACTTTTCTTCTTTAAGTTCTCAAGGTTCTTAATTTGGCTCAAGGTTGTCATCTGAACTGGCCAGATGTTTAACTGAGAATCAGTCACAATCAGTCCATCCTTTGGAAAATAAGACTTTAGAACCGTCTTGCCCCAAAATGGCAACTAGACATTTGTGGCGGTTCAAGTACTACTTGGATGGCTGTATCCAGCAAGTGATGCTTGGGGAGTACTTTTTGGCCCCATGGAGCCTTCAGTGTGGAGTTCCTCAAGGCTTAATTGAGGTTTCCAATGTTTTTGAGTCCACGGCTCCCTTAACCAAGTACATTCTTTCTGTGGCACCCCTGTGGGGCTCAGGAGCCCAGTTATGTCACCCCTTGCCAGCAGAGCTGGCAGCCTCTCACCCTTTTTCAAACACCCTATCTTGTGGAGTGTTCCCTCAGCCTCCTCGCCCCTCTCCTTGGGAGTCCTCTGGGCAGCTGCTGCCGCCATCCCTGGTCTCTGTGCTGCCCCCCATGCCAAAGAGAGGCGCCTCCTCACACTGCCCCACAGGGGCCTGCGGAGAGGATGTCCCCACCAGCCTTAGTGGCCCAACAAAGGCTGGCCAAAGGTGAACATGAGGCCAGCACCTTACCTTGGGAGGCAGCAGGTGCGGCAGCAGGCACCGCCGGGCTTGCATGGCAGAAAGCCTCCCCTTCAGCACTGAGCACTCAACTCCCAGGCAGGCCTTGCACACAGCAAGCATCTGCCTTACTGGCTGTCTGGCCTCCCTATTGTCTGTCCTTTCCCAACAGCAAGGGCTGGAGGAGGAGGAGGAGGAGTTTGGATCTGATATCCCGCTTTATCACTACCCAAAGGAGTCTCAAAGCGGCTAACAATCTCCTTTCCCTTCCTCCCCCACAACAAACACTCTGTGAGGTGAGTGAGGCTGAGAGACTTCAGAGAAGTGTGACTAGTCCAAGGTCACCCAGCAGCTGCATGTGGAGGAGCCGAGATGTGAACCCAGTTCACCAGATTACAAATCGACCGCTCCTAACCACTACACCACACTGGCTGGCTGGGCTTCCTCACCCACTTGCTTGCTTATTCCAAAGCCACCTCAGCTCCTGGCAACCAGCACCCCATGGCAAGCCCCAGAGATACCACTTGCCTGGGGAGCTTATGGCCAGGGCTGCTGCAACAAACAGCCACGCAAGCCTTTGAGAGGCAGAGACACAAGAGGGCATCAAAGGATGGAGAGAAGGTTGAGGGACAGAGGTCAGTATTGCCTGCGGCACCCCTGACCATCACTCAAGGCCACGGCACACTGGTCGAAAACCCCCATAACACCTACATGAAACTGCTGAGTGGGGTTTTGGAGTACGTTATCAGCATGGACAGTGTTCTCAAAGCTACCACCATGAGTTTGACCAAACTGCGGGAGGCAGTGGAAGACAGGAGTGCCTGGTGTGCTCTGGTCCATGGGGTCACGAAGAGTCGGACACGACTAAACGTCTAAACAACAACCATCAGCAATATGCTGATGACACACAGCTCTTCTTCTGCAGGTGATGGCAGTGGTAGACCGTTGTCTTTCCTCAATAACTTTGACTAGATGAGAGTCAACAAACTGAAGCTCAATCTGTTAGGTATTGAAGTTCTCTGCTATGTCCACCCACTACAGTGGTACCTTGGGATGCGAACGGGATCCGTTCCGCAGCCCCGTTCACATCCCAAATAGAACGTAAGACACGACAGCGCATCTACGCATGCACGGGTCGCGTTTTGCCACTTCCGCGCATGCGCGTGACATCATTTTGACCGTCTGCGCATGCATGAGCAGCGAAACCTGGAAGTAACGCGCTCCATTACTTCCAGGTCACTGCGGAGCACAACCTGAAAACGCTCAACCTGAAGCGTATTTATCCTGAGGTATGACTGTACTTAATACAATCCAGATAGGACTGAGGCACGATTAGTGAGTGATTCCCTAGATTAGATGGATGGGAGTTTGCCTGCTCTTGATGGAGTTACACTCACTCTGAAGGAGCGGGTCTGTAGCTTGGCGGTACTTCTAGATCAGCGGTTCTCAACCTGTGGGTCCCAGATGTTGTTGGACTACAACTCTCATCATCTCTGAGCTCTGGCCTTGCTAGCTAGGGGTGATGGGAGTTGTAGTTCAACAACATCTGGGGACCCACAGGTTGAGAAAGGCTGTTGTAGATCCTTTGCTGTCACTTGAGACTCAAGTGCCCTCAGTGACATCAGTTCCTTCCATCAGCTTTGCCTGGTGGCCCAGTTGTGTCCCTATCTGGACAGGGGTAGCCTAACTTCTGTTGTCGATGCTCTGGTAATCTCTAGGTTACATTACATGTTATACATAGGCTTGCCTCTGAAGACGGTTCGGAAACTTCAGCTGGTGCAGAATTTGACGGCCAGGTTGCTCACCAGGGCAAGATGGTTTGAGCATATTACACCGATCCTGGCCAAACTCCACTGACTGCCAATTAGTTTCTGGGCGAACCAGAGCAACACACGGAAACGCCATTTACCTTCCCGCCGGAGCAGTACCTATTTATCTACTTGCACTTTGACGTGCTTTTGAACTGTTAGGTTGGCAGGAGCAGGGACCGAGCAATGGGAGCTCACCCCGTTGCGGGGATTTGAACTGCTGACCTTCTGATAGGCAAGTCCTAGGTTCTATGGTTTAACCCACAGTGCCACCCGCGTCCCAACTACTCTATTACGAACTTTAAAAATGGAAAGCGTCATGCTGGTGGTCAACAAAAGAGGTTTAAAGACTTTCTTAAGGTAAATCTTTTAAAATGTAGTATATACACTGACAGTTGGGGGACCCTGGCCTGCGAGCGCTCCAATTGGAGAACAGCCTTTACCAAAGGCGTCATGGGCTTTGAAGACGCTCAAACTCAGGATGGAAAGGAGAAACGTGCTAAGAGGAAGGCACGCTTGGCAAACCCTCACTGTGATCAACTCCCGCCCGGAAACCTATGTCCCCACTGTGGAAGGATGTGTGGATCCAGAATTGGCCTCCAAGGTCACTTACGGACTCACTGTGAAGACCGTGTTCATGGAAGACAATCTGACTCAGCTACGAGTGATTGCCGAAGAAGAAGAAGAAGCTTAGAACAAAAGTTCTAAAAAGTAAGGGAAAATATGTGTGCATCTTATGGAGCGAATGCAGGCTGTGCAGCTATCACAGAAGCCAGAACAGCAAGAGGGATTGCTGCTTTCACTGCGCAGGGATCCCTCTTGCTGTTCTGGCTTCTGAGACTCAGAATATTTCTTTTCTTGTTTTCCTCCTCCAAAAACTAGGTGCGTCTTGTGGTCTGGTGCATCTTATAGAGCAAAAAATACGGTGATTTTCATTCACTGGACAGAATCGAAAACAGATTGACATCAGATTTCTCTTGCCTTAAGTTTGAGGAAAAAGGAGCTAAAAATCTTAGCCCCATGAGTTTCCATGCTCCTCTCCTGCTTATTTCTGCCTCTCTTTCCTCTTGATTCTTCTGTGTTCAGACTGAAAATTATTGGCGGTATAGAACAGGGGCCCCTTGTCCTTTCCTTTGGAAAGCACTCGTTGACTGGTGGAATTACAGAAGTAACTACACAGAATTAGGCTGTTAAGATGTTTCCATTCTGGCCAAATGACAAAAGTTCCTTACCTAAAGATCTCCCTTTCCCTTACCTCTTCCCTATATATCCCCGTGTCAAACAGAAGGAGCATGAGAGAGAAATATGTTTTCCATACATCCCCATATATGTGCGCACGTGTCTATAAATAGATTTCGTTCGGGAAAGAAAAGCAGTTGGGGAAGGGCAATGTCATTTGCAAACACAGCTAGCAGGGGAGAACGGAGGCTCATTTCCACCCGGGGCAAAAACCCAGTTTGGCAAAAAAACCAAAACAAAAAACCACGGGCATTTGGGTACACACAAAGGCTGGGAGCCTCAGTGGTGCCCTTCCGGGGGCTTCACAGCGGCAAAAAAACCTGGCTAGCCCCCAACCCACCCCGGCTCTGAGAAAAGGGTGAAGGCTGTCCGTGGCGCCCCATCCTTTGCTATTTCCATCAAAGATTAAGTTTCAAAGAGATTCAAAACAAGCCAAGAATAAAAACAAAATCCAGACAAGTAACCGGAGCCTTCTCACGGGTTTCACCGCAGCAACACCAAGACCAGCTTGGCAGCGATGCACTACACATTTTTCCTGGGAGTAAACTCGACTGGCCTTAGTGGGGCTTACTTTTGAGTAAGACACGTGCAGGGTCGCGCCTAAACAGCAACCGGTTCGCGGTGGGGTTTGGAAGGCGACACGTAGGGGTGTCAAATTGAATCAAAATTGGGAGGGGTGGCAGGTAAACCTCGCCCTGCATAATCGATTACAGGATGATGTGGACACTCAGCCTTTGAATGGCAATGCCCATCAACTTTTATGGGGGCAGCGAAGACCCTCCACGGCCCCTCGGAGTTGGCTCCTATGCCACACACACCATTTGAAAGGCAATGCCCAGCAACTTGGGCGGGGGGGGAGCTCATATATTTGATTGGAGAGGCTGAAGTGACCTCGGCCCCTCGGAGTTGGCTCCTATGGCAACACGTGCCTTGCCGTCTTCACGTAGTTTAGCAGCAACACGTGTCTTGCCTTCTTCCCAGTGTTTCGCCTGGCGCGCGTCAGATTTTTACGCTTTCTTGCAGGATCCTGGCAACGCGGCGCTATACCAAGAAGCGGCACCGAGGCAGCTGGCATCCACACACACAAACACACACCCACCCCAGCTTCCGCCATCCTGTTTGCACAAATCCCCTGCCCCACAGCTCGGCTGCTCGGACTTACCAGAAGTCCTCCATGGCTCTGCTTGGAGATCTCCAAACGCGAAGATTGTGGAGCACACAGGCCGCCCCACTCCCTCAGTTTGGGAGAGGAGAGGGATGGTCTTGTCTAGCCGAGGAGCGCGCACTCCCGGGTCTGGCGCGCTACTCTCCTCTCGGCTCCTCCCGATTCATTTCCATTTTTCACAGGGAGGGTCACGTCGGGGCAGAGGGAGGAGGAAGGGCGGGCGCGGGCATATTTGGGGCGAGACACTGCCTTCTTCTCACATGCGCTGGCAGGGCTTGTTCTTTATAAAGCGCTTCTATGCCCCAGGGGCAAAATCAGGGCGAGGCTCTCCCGGAATAAACGAGCACAAAGCCCCCTGGAGGCCAGACAACGGTCGCCATCACTCACATCTTCGGTTTCTTCTCAACCTCAGTTTGCCAGAATTGGAAAAGATTCCGTAGAAACAGACGTTTTCTAGGGTATGCGCACTGCTGGTGCCTGGCTATTTGCGCCCTCGACTAATCGCTTGCACACCACACACTCGCATTGCTAACAGTCTTTGAGTACAGTGCTTTTTTTCAAATACAAAAGAATATGTTCGGCACACAAATCGTTTTGAACGATCCTGTGAATTGTCTCAGCCTCTTAAAAGTTTTGATTTCAAGTACACCAGAACCTCACTTTGCATGCCTTTTCCTTTGCAAATTCTGTCTCAGATTCCTGGAGGCCAAGTTGGCATCTTCCATTGATATTATTGCCAAGCCAACTGGGCTCTTTTGCAACGCCGTTGAGCCTATATTTTTACAAGTCTGAGCTCTGAGAAACTGTGTTCATTCCCCACTGTGTGTGGTTTCCCCTAAGTGTGAGAAGGATCCTTAGAGCAACAGAAACATTGGGCACATTATCCAGGAGTTTTTTTGCTGTGGTGGTATGAAAAGAAGTACACCTTGTCGTGGAATAGATTTCGGAAGTGTTCAAGCTATTGCTATAATTTCACAACACAGATTTTCAGCGTCAGTATATCTTTCTTTCCACTGTGCATCAATGATTTCCCCAAATTCTTGAAAGCCTTATGTACATCTTTAATAGATTTTTGTTCTTGTGGATACTGTATAAATCATACAGGAAGCTAAATCAACATAATATACAATCATAGTCATGCTGAACAAATGACAAACATCAGGGGTGCAGTCCTGAATAACTAAGCTGTTTTTGGCTGAGTTTCAGTTTTATAGCACCTGCTACAAGTTGTGATAGGGATGCTCCCAATGACATATGTCTCCATGTGCACCCATTGTTTTGCTTCTTTACAATGAGGCCGAGGGGGAGGCCCCTTCAGTACAGTGGTACCTCGGGTTACATATGCTTCAGGTTACAGACTCCGCTAACCCAGAAATAGTGCTTCAGGTTAAGAACTTTGCTTCAGGATGAGAACAGAAATTGTGCTCCGGCGACGTGGCAGCAGTGGGAGGCCCCATTAGCTAAAGTGGTGCTTCAGGTTAAGAACAGTTTCAGGTTAAGTACGGACCTCCAGAACGAATTAAGTACTTAACCCGAGATACCACTGTATTTTATTCCTGCTTGTTGCAGACTTGAGGTGCAAGGACACAGATTTCCCCCCCCTGGTTCAAGGACTCCTGTGAAAGATCCTATAAGACCATGATCAGGTTGCCCACATGATGCAGAGATGTTAAAGCCACTTCTGGCGAACCAAAGCAGCGCATGGAAACGCCGTTTACCTTCCCGCCGGAGTGGTACCTATTTATCTACTTGCAGTTTGATGTGCTTTCAAACTGCTAGGTTGACAGGAGCTGGGACTGAGCAAAGGGAGCTCACCCCGTCACGGGGATTCGAACGGCTGACCTTCCAATTGGCAAGCCCTAGGCTCAGTGGTTTAGACCACAGCGCCACCTGCGTCCCTTCTAGAAAAGTTGTGAAAGATAACAATTTTATTTATTTGTTTATTTATTGTACCCCACCCATCTGACTGGGCTGCTCCAGCCATTATGTGCAGCTTCCAGCTGAGTATACAAAGACACTTGTACGCTGAAGGAAATTTAAACGAAAATGATGTACCAGTGGTATTTGACTCCTACTAAGTTAGCAAAAATGTATAGAACAAGTGCAAATACCTGCTGGAAATGTTTTTTTTTTAAAAAGGAAGGTACCTTTTATCATATGTGGTGGTCGTGTAAGGTAATAAAAGCTTTCTGGAAGATGATATATAATGAAATGGAAAAAAAAATGTTTTAAATAACTTTTGATTAAAAAACCCAGAAGCTTCTCTATTAGGAATAATAGGTACCGACATTCCAAAGGAGCAGAAAAGGCTTTTTATGTACGTGATAATAGCCGCTCGGATGCTACCAGCCCAGAGATGAAAAGAAGAAAGAGTCCCTACCAGAGAGAAATGGCAAACTATTTTTTTTAAAAAAAAATAATATTTATTACTTTTATAGATTACAAAAAGGGAAGAGAAAAACAGAAAAAAAGACAAAGGAGGAAAGCAAAACTAAGGGATGGCAAACTAAGCTGATGGACTACGCCGAAATGGCAAAGCTGACTGGAAAGCTCAGGAACCCAGAAGACAAAAACTTCAAGAAAAAAATGGGGGGAAATTATAATTTATTTAAGAGACCACTGCAAGCATTAGCAGGATTCTAATCTCACTTGTAATGTAACAAATACTATGGATAATATGTATGGATACAAAATATAGATTATGGAATAATATGCAGTTGTGAATGTTGACAATAGGACCCATGGAGGAGATGGGGGGAAGTCTCGAGATTCAAAGTATATATGATGATGATGATGATGATAAATAATTTTTATTTGTATCCCACCCTCCCTGGCCAAGACTGGGCTCAGAGTGGCTAACATCGTAAAAACAACACAATACGCATAAAAACAGACATCAATTAATTAAAATGCATCGTAAAATTAATTCAGACAACTTAAAATCTGGGCAGGTGGAAATTATCTTTTTTTTTAACAATAATTTTTTATTGATTTTCATTAAATATACATTCAATATACAAATAAATTTCACATATATCTGCTGAGCTTCAGACTTCCCTCCACCCCCTTCAGTAAGTATCGTACATTTTCTTACATCACGTATTTTGTTTCTTTATCTGGTTAGCCATATGCTGTTAGAGTTATTCTAACCCAGCCAGTGTCTTTAAAGTTTTACAGATGTCTCTTATATACACCAAATGTTTACTCAAAGTTTCATGAAACTTCTGTTCGTCCTGATCTCGTGTTCTCCCTGATAATCTAACCAGTTTTGCGTAATTCATCATTTTAACCTGCCAATCCATAATAGTTGGATCTGTTTTCCAATTCTGAGCCAACATAGTTCTTGCAGCCGTCATGGCATACAGAAAGAGGTTTTTATCTTTCTTTTTAATTTCCTTCCCTACCAATCCCAATAGACAGGTGGAAATTATCAGGTGGGAATTGAGAGTGGTTATGCATTTGGACTGTTATAAATGTATATTTGTAAAATCAAATAAAAATAATTTTTTAAAAGAGTATACAAAGATGCAACAGACACAAAACTTTTAAAAACTTCCCAACATATGTTGCAATGTCCGTTGCAATTTTCAAGGCCTGCTAGTTTGTTTCTTCTGTGTGTTTTGTTTTCCTTCTGGCAGGGGTTAATTTGTTTCTCTTGTGCAGTGGTACCTCGGGTTACAGACGCTTCAGGTTACAGACTCCGCTAACCTGGAAATAGTACCTCAGGTTAAGAACTTTGCTTCAGGATGTAAGAAGAATCCTTAGCGCAACAGAAACATTGGACACATTATCCATGAGTTTTTTTGTTGTAGTGGTATGAAAAGAAGTACTCCTTGTCGTGGAATAGATTTCAGAAGTGTTCGAACTATTGCTATAATTTCACAACACAGATTTTCAGCATCAGTACAGTGGTACCTCGGGTTACATACGCTTCAGGTTACATACACTTCAGGATACAGACTCCACTAACCCAGAAATAGTACCTCAGGTTAAGAACTTTGATTCAGGATGAGAACAGAAATCATGCTTTGGCGGCGCGGCAGCAGCTGGAGGCCCCATTAGCTAAAGTGGTACCTCTGGTTTAGAACAGTTTCTGGTTAAGAACGGACCTCCAGAACGAATTAAGTTCTTAACCCGAGGTACCACTGTATCTGTTTCCTCTTCTCCAGGGTGCCAGTAAGAGTCTCAACCTTGACCTGTTGCTCCAAGGGAGTCTTTAAATCCTTCCAAGCTTGGTGCAGTGAGTCCATTAGGAAGCCTTAGATAGTTTCTGTTACTCTCTGTTTGAGTTCCTTCAGGTCTGGTTGGGATGGTACTCGCTCGCTTTGTGAGGTCGTAGTGGTTTTATTTATTTCCGCCTTCTCCTTGCTCATCGCCATTTTGGCTTTCTTGACTGTGTGCTATGTCGTTCGTGGGCTGAGAGTTGTTGGTTTGTTTCATATTGCGTCTCAGGTTCCCCTTTCGTTCCCCTCATGGTAGGGTGTTTTCGTGTAGTTCTCTGTTAAAAGGTCATTCTTTAGATTGTGTTGCTTGGTGACTTTCACAGTGGGGCCATTATCTGAGCCTGAAAGTCCCTGGTATATATATACAGTGGTACCTCAGGTTACATACGCTTCAGGTTACAGACTCCGCTAACCCAGAAATAGTGCTTCAGGTTAAGAACTTTGCTTCAGGATGAGAACAGAAATTGTGCTCCGGCGGTGCGGCAGCAGCAGGAGGCCCCATTAGCTAAAGTGGTGCTTCAGGTTAAGAACAGTTTCAAGTTAAGTACGGACCTCCGGAACGAATTAAGTACTTAACCCAAGGTACCACTGTGTGTGTGTGTGTGTGTGTATTCAGATTGAAATTTGACAGTCACATACAGTGGCATAGCGTGGGGGGTGCAGGGGGGGCCGACCGCACCGGGCACAACATCTGGGGGGGGGCGCGCTCGCACTCGCAGCTCTCTGCCCCTACCTGGCTCACTCACTCTCTCTCACTGCAGTGCTGGCTGTGCGAATCCGATCCGAGCCTCTGGGTCGCCGCCCACTGTGAAGGGGGTGGGTGCCAGGCGTGCGGTGCGGAGAGAGAGCGAGGGACTATCTGGGGGAGGGACAGTGCAGCGGCCGCCCAGCGCAGTGCTGAGCGCGGGAGAGAACCACACCAGACCAGACCAGGCAGCAGCAAGAAGAAGCTGGCAGCGGCGGCAGGTTAGGGGTTAGGGGGCGCAAATTACTTGCCTTGCCCCGGGTTAGGGGGCGCAAATTACTTGCCTTGCCCCGGGTGCTGACAACCC